ACTTTTCAGCCATACATTCTATTAACTTTTATCAAAATTTACTAAAAATTTAATTTTCATCTTATTAATTCAAGATCCGAAATTATGCAACCAAATATTTACAACAGCTTTACAAGAAAACCTAAACCACAGCATCAAGGTTTAGATCTTTCATAGGCTCAGACCATACGCCCCATAAACTTCATAGAGACACCGAACTCAAAAAACCCAAGCCCTCACAATCCCAAACCATACGAAGTCGCTTCAATGGAACCGAAATGGATAGACCACTTCTCTCAACAGTTTACTCACACAAAGGAGACTCACATAAAGACACGATTATCACCAATATAATCACCAGAAAATCTCACACAGAGAAGATGAAAGAGTTACAGAGACGAAAACCCTTGAAGGTTCCAGAAGACACGGAGAAATCAGAGAATAGAGAAATGACGATTCAATTTGCCAAGAAAGGGAGAAAGATATTATTTATACTAAAATCCAACAACCATTGATCAGTGGGTCGATCCAACGATTCTAGAGCGACTAAGGATATGGGCTGATTATTGGGCTCGGTTTAAGTGGGTCATCTTAGTATCAAACTGTGGGTTAATCAGCTATTACCTATTGGGCCTGGATTTTTATCATCATTGCTTATATTTTGGACTGATCATGTTGGCATCACAACCCAATAGATCTCCACGTTGATGCCAATGGTCATACAAGAAGTGTAATAAAAGTAAAACACAATTCATCTCTCCAAAGAATGCAGCTTCCCAGTACTTCCAATAAGAATCAGATTCAGCACCTGTACAAGACCAAAAATATCTAACCAGTATCAATATTCAAAATTTGTAAACAAGACTTAAACTTGTTTAACGGTATTACCTTAGTCCCTACATCAGCTGGATTAAACTGAGTTGCAATTTTCTCAAGTAAAATAAGTTCTTTAGAAACAACATCTCTAATAAAATGTAACTTAACATCAATATGTTTGGTTCTTTCATGAAAAAGATGATTTTTACATAGGTGAATTACACTTTTACTATCTGAATATAAGACAACAGGGTTGTTTAATTCATTTATTTCAGATAACAAACCCTTACGCCATAAGGCTTCTTTTATTGCTTCAGTTGCAGCAACATACTCAGCTTCAGTAGTAGATAAAGCAACAATAGGTTGAAGTTGTGATTTCCAACTAATACATGTATTACACAAAGTAAATATATAAGCAGTGGTAGATTTCCCATTGTCTTTATCTCCTGCAAAATCTGAATCTACAAAACCCTTAAGTACAACACCTTCATTACAGGCACTAAAAATCAAACCAAGATGTGAAGATCCTTTCAAATATCTCAACAGCCATTTTAGAGCAACCCAATGGTCAGGTCTTGGATTGGCCATAAATCTACTTAATGTGCTAATGGAATGAGTTACATTAGGCCTAGTACATACCATGGTGTACATGACAAATCCTACATCATTAGGATAGGGTACATTTTCCATCTGTCTAATGTCATATTCATCTACAAGACATTGCTCTTTACTAAGTTTAAAATGGCTAGCCAATGGTAATGAAACAGATTTAGAGTTATGCATGACAAACTTAGTCAACATTTTTTCTATATATGCAGTTTGCTTCAAGTACAGTAACCTATGGTGCTTTTTCCTAGTGATTTCCATTCCTAAAATTCTTTTTGCATGTCCTAGGTCTTTCATTTCAAATTCAACACTTAAAGACCGTTTTATCTAATTAATAACATGCATATTCTGACCAATCAGCAACATATCATCCACATAGAGAAGTATAAAAACAACAATAGCATTTTCATCATTTCTTTTCAAATAAAGACAATGATCATACTCACTTCTCATGAAACTAATAGTAGATACAAAATTATCAAACCTTTTGTACCATTATCGAGAAGATTGCTTTAAGCCATATAATGATCTTTTTAACAAACACACATGATCAGATTTAATTTCATCAATAAAACCAGGTGGCTATCTCATATAAATCACTTCATCAAGGTCACCATGCAAGAAGGCAATTTTCACGTCCATTTGTTCAAGTTCAAGATCATAATGAGCAACAAAAACAAGCATAACTCTAATTGTTGTGTACTTTATCACAGTAGAAAATATCTCATTATAATCTATGCCCTCTTTTTGTATAAATCCTTTTGCTACAAATCTAGCCTTAAATCTTATGGGCATCTTTTCAGTATTTCCCTCCTTAACACTAAAGATCCACTTGCGATCAACAAGGGCCTTACCTGCAGGTTTAGGAACTAAAGTCCAAGTCTCATTTTTCATTAAGGAGTCCATCTCATCTATCATAGCAGCATGTCAATTCTCAAATTGCTTGCAGCTCATAGCCTCTTCATAAGATTTTGGTTCTTTAAACACTAAGTCTTGATAGGACAAAACAGCAAGTGAAAGGTAATTTCCATACCTAACTAGCTCTCTTACTTCTCTCCTAGTCCTATCTCTAGCTAATTGGTAATCTCCCAATTCATCAGGCTGACTTTCCAGATTTTCTTGAACACTTTCTTCTTCATTTTCTTGAGGAACAGAAGCTGTTCCAGTTTCTTCCTCCACCTATTCATCACCAACAGGTTTAGTAGGTGAGCCAAGCTCCACCTGCAGCTTGGTATTATCACCCTTTTCATCACCAGATAGCCCTTTTGGCTCCTTATTTTTTAAACAAGGCATTTTTGACTCATCAAAGGTCACATCTCTGCTGGTGATGATTTTAAAACCTTTTACCTCTTTACTCCGTAGCCTATAACCTTTAACTCCATCATGATATCCTAAGAAAACACATTTCTGGGCCCTAGGTTCAAGTTTTCCTATACTCTGATGGGAATAGGCAACACAACCAAAGATTCTTAAATGGGAATAATCAGGGACATGTCCTGTCTATAGCTCTTTAGGGGTTTTATCACCTAGAGCACTTGAAGGGGTCCTATTAACAATATATGAAGCTGTCATTACTGCTTCACCCCATAAAACCTTAGGAACTCCTGAGCCTATCAACATGCATCTAACCTTATCTAACAAGGTTCTATTCATCCTCTCAGCCACTCCATTCTGCTGAGGTGTATAAGGTACTGTTTTGTGCCTTTTAATCCCAGTACTTTTGCACAATTGATCAAATTCAGCATTGCAAAACTCAAGACCATTATCTGTCTTAAGGATCTTAATTTTCTTCCTAGTTTCATTTTCCACCAGAATCTTCCAAGTTCTAAATTTCTCAAAAGTTTCAGATTTATGTTTCAACAAGTAAACCCAAACCTTCCTTGAATAATCATCAATCAAGGACAAGAAATATCTATTTCCTCCTTGAGTGATGGTGGATGAAGGTCCCCATAAATCAGCATGTATATACTCAAGGATAGAGGTGGTTCTATATTTTCCTGTGTTAAAATGCAGCCTATGTTGCTTACCTAAGGTGCAGTTTTCACAAAAGGACACCTTAGATATAGAGTCTTTTCCAAACACACCTTTCTTATAAAGGATGTGTAGGCCCTTTTCACCTACATGGGCCAATCTTTTGTGCCATTTTAAAGTGGCATCAACTTCAACACTTGAAGACTCACCTATGTGATCATACACTGTACTAGCTTTGATCACATAAATCCCATTTCTTTTAACACCTTTAAAAATAACAAGTGATCCTTTTATCACCTTCAAAAAACCATCTCCTATTTTCCTTGCAGCCCCATATCATCTAGATTTCCCATGGAAATCAGGTTCCTATTTAATTTAGGGACATACCTCACCCTTTCAAGGGTGTAAATGTATCCATTATCAAATTTCAAAGTGACATTCCCAACTCACTCAACTCTGTAGGCTATGTTATTGTCCATAACTACTTCTCCTCCATCAATTTTCTTAAAATTTTCTAAATATGCCTTTTTAGAGGTCATATGGAAGGTACAACCAGAATCCAAGATCCATCCTTGGTTTTGGTTCTCATTAACAATATTTGCAAAGTTAGGTAGATTTTCAGTCACAGCATATACATCAACTGTGGTAGAACCATCAGATTCTACCACATTACCTTCTTCAACACCCTTGCCTTTTTGTTCATTTTTCTTCTTATAACAGTTTTTGATAAAATGACCAGATTTCCCACACCCATAACACTTTTTAGTCCTAGTCTTTGACTTAGACCTACCTCTACTCTTAAACTTTCTCCTATTATTGTTTCCTTGATTATTATAGCTTTCCTGAGTACCACTAGACATACTTAAAGTCCTCCCTCTAGCAAACAAGTTTTCATGGGCACTATTACCTCTCTCAGACTTAAGTTCAAGTTCCTTACTTCTTAATGAATCTATAACAATGTCAGGTGTTAGAGTATCTACCATACTTAATGGCAACTTTAACCTCTTTGTAGGCATCAGGTATAGCATTAAGTAGCACTACAGCCTTATACTCATCAGAAACTTTCTCACCTGTATTAATAATGTATTGAACTAACTTATTAAAAGTGTCTAAGCTATCTTCTAAGTCTCTAGTAGGGTCTATCCTAAAGCTGAAAAATTTCTCTAACAGAAACAACTTATTTGGTAGAGACTTAGGCAGGTAAAGTTTCTCTAATTCATCCCATAAGGCTTTAGCAGTATCATGTTTTCCTACCTTTCTTAAAACTTGATCAGATAAATGTAAAATAATGGAGGTATAAGCAAGTTCATCAGATTCTTCCTTTTGATCATCTGTCATGGTATCAGGAAATTCATCTGTTATTGCTTTGAAAACTTTTTGCTGAACTAAAACACCTCGCATTTTTTGTTGTCAAATGGGAAAATCCCCTTTTCCATCAAAAACACCAAGTTCAAAAGATTTTGTCATGTTTTATTGTTGAAAAAACTAACACACAGTGTTTTCCAAAAATTAAAACAAGACATATAATCAACTTTTGAAAAATATGTTGAATTTGACCTTCGCAAAAAAAAAAAATGATGTTTTAGATCACAAAAAGAATAAAATGTAATAAGATTACTAAGTCACAATTATTCCTTATTACAAAAAATTTCAGCAATCTCAAGATCAATTATCATATCAATATAAACACTACAAGAACCAAGGAAATACAACAATATCTCAGTATTAAGAAATAATATCTGCAGAACCTAGGGTTGATCAAATTCACCAGGATTCCGTGAGAATCAAGTTCTCAGGTCAATGCTCAATTTGAGTCACCCAAACTTAAACGATCACAGACAGAGATCACAGACAAAAAAATAACGAGATATCACCAATTAATGTAACAAGTTACAGTATACAACAATTAACCATATCAAGATAGAGGCATAATCAAAATATACACAGTGTTACGTGTGTGTGTGATCATGTAGGGATCAAGAAGTGCATACCGAAGGGTGATTAAACGATTAACCACCAGCACTAATCAGGAATTAGTTATCACAACAAGGGGTGAGTGTTCTCCAGATCACCAAATCATGAACCGAACCCTTACAGCTTCAAAGTTAGGGTTCCAGTTCAAGATCGAACCCACAGGACCTCTTATTTTAGGGTCCTTTTACAGATCGAGGCGAGAAGTCACAAAACTTTCTTGTTTTCCACAGTCCAGTTTCGAATCAGCTCAACAAACCACCAGATCGACACAAATCTAGACCTAGGGTTTCGCGATCTGAAGTCGAACGCCTGAAAATTAATTTTCCAGTGTTCGAACTCCGATCGAAGACTCAAGAATGAATTATTGAGGCTCTGATACCACTATTAATTCAAGATCCCAAATTATGCAACCAAATATTTACAACAGCTTTACAAGAAAACCTAAACCACAGCATCAAGGTTTAGATCTTTCATAGGCTCAGACCATACACCCCATAAACTTCATAGAGACACCGAACTCAAAAAACCCAAGCCCTCACAATCCCAAACCATACGAAGTCACTTCAATGGAACCGAAATGGACAGACCACTTCTCTCAACAGTTTACTCACACAAAGGAGACTCACATAAGGACACGATTATCACCAAGATAATCACCAGAAAATCTCACACAGAGAATATGAAAGAGTCATAGAGACGAAAACCCTTGAAGGTTCTAGAAGACACGAAGAAATCAGAGAATAGAGAAATGACGATTCAATTTGTCAAGAAAGAGAGAAATATATTATTTATACTAAAATCCAACAACCATTGATCAGTGGGTCGATCCAAAGGTTCCAGAGCGACTAAGGATATGGGCTGATTATTGGGCTCGGTTTAAGTGGGTCATCTTAATATCAAACTGTGGGTTAATCAGCTGTTATCTATTGGGCCTGGATTTTTATCATCATTGCCTATATTTTGGACTGATCATGTTGGCATCACAACCCAACACATCTAAATCAAACATAGACTAAATAATCAACTGATTAACCAGGAATAACTTTAGTTCTTATTTTCAAGAAAACAGGAAACAATGATAATGATCTATTTGCCCACCAACTACCAAGAATAATAAGTGCATAAAGATATAAATACAATGATTATATAAGAGCTGAAAATAACTGTACAGTCTTAGATTGACTTCATTGTGATTAGTAATTGAAGCTCGAATTATATTGGTCTGATTGGTTTCTTTGATATCTCCTGAAAAATCTTAGACTTAATTATTGTACTAATGATAATCTTCCCACATCGTTTAATGACAGATTAGCTGAAAGAACCGGCTACTCAATTGGAAGGCCAAGTAACTTGCCACAAAGCGAACTATTCTTTCGCCTTTTACTAAAGAATACCGAGTGCTTAAGGAGCATACTTCACTTTTTGACGGGGTTTTTCTTCTCTACGGAATGTCCCAACCAGTAACTTTGTCTTATATGATATACTAGCTAAACCTGTTTAGATCTATGTTGGAAGTTAACGTTTATCAATAACATATAGGATTTTAAGTTTACATTTCTAGCCAAACAGCCATTAATATAACTTAAAGAAATTTATTTTAATTGTCATTTCATTTGACAAATTTTAAATTTTCGATGATCGTTGCTAAACTTAGCACTAATTTTAAATACTTTTATCCAAAACGTATTCATCGCACTTTCTTGATAACCTATTAAAGATTCGAGTTATGCTATATCTATAAAGTTGGTTAATAAAATAATATCTATACAAATCATTTCAAAATCATATTTTTAAATTGTTGAAAACAATGACATGAATTTTGTCAATAAAAACACTTTGTACAAAGAATAAAATACTAAAGATTCTCCAACATATTTATTGATATCAATAACAACATAGAGACAAGTTCGTCATTCCCAAGACCACTTGTACATCGGTGTGCTTCGAAACTGTCGAAGTTAATCAAATCTGAACTTTTGGGACCCACTATGAACAGATTTCTATTGTTCCAGAACAGTAAAACTTTTGTTTCAACTTATGAAAATGAAACAAAAGAAAGTATACCCATCATTTGCCTTCCATATGTTATATTTTAGAGTTTATTGTTATGCGAAAATATATTTTGATCTAAAATCATCGCAAGTGTAAGACTTGTTAAAAAGTAATAAAGTAAATTTTGAATCTGAATACCGTCTCGCAAAAATTAATTTTGAATTCAATTTCTATTATCGGGACTTTAATCGAAATAATAAAAAAGAGAGTGCTTGTTGTGATTAAAATTATAACTAGACTAACTTATGTAATTATAACTGATTTAACTAACTAAATGTAAGTTGTGTTTAAATGCAAGTTGAAGTGTTATAATGAATGATAAATGTACTAGGATTGCAAATCCCCATACAATAATCCCTTCTAAACTTAGTTTTACATCTTGACAACACGGTTGAATATTAACGAATCAATATTCCTATTTTATTCAACAATCTCTCTTCAGTAATTTGAACTTATATTTACGACCCAACTATATTTCTATGATGCATTAATTTTTATAAACACTTAAAGATTCATAAAGAGCATAGCGGTATATTTCTATTCTATATCGGACCCTACGACGGTTTATACCATGTCGAGCCTATTCCCCTTCTTTCGAATGCATGAAACAAGCTACTAAATTTACACAATCACCTGCATAATAATTGTGGAGAAAATAAATTCATATATACTATTCAAATTCCAAAGGCGTGTTTTAATGTCAAGAATGTAAAACTAAAGATTAAAAAATAATATCCATGGTTCATCGTTCTCCTAACACAAATAAATCTAGCCAAACATGTTGGGACGAAAACACAAAGAGTGTTGAAGAAGCGATATCACCAATTTAAATCTTCAATTCTTCTAATTAATCTTTGCGTTCCTTGCCTCCTATGCTCTCAAACCCTTTTGAATGTGCTGGAATGCATCATAATCCTTTAGGGACGGCCCTAGGGCTTTAGAAGATGTCCCAAGATTTGGTTTCCTTAAGAATTTTAATCAAATGAGGAAATAAGATATTTCCTATTGGAGACAAATCAATGCTATATCATAGTTCAATGAAAATTAGTCGTAAAAGTTGATGAAAATCAACATGCGACCGCATAGGAAGTATTTATCTTCCAAAAGTTGCATTTTAGTCTCCGAACTGTGTTCTTTTTTTTCGTTTCTTCTTTTTCCAACATTTCATGTCTTCACCAAATTAGTCTTTAACTCTTTCACATCCTCACTTCTACTTTCGGATCATCTTTCGACTATTTGTACTTTGGTCCATAAGCTTTTCTTTTCTTTTATTTTAGTCTTTTTTTGCTTATTTTTCCTAAATGTTTGTTCTGCAAAGCATAATTTATATAGAATTAAGCCATATTCCACATATTTATCAACAATTATCCATCTTTTATGGTCAAGATAAATGTGTAAAATACACTTATCATTTATCACTATCGTAGCAATTTAATTAATTAACGAATAATTATTTTCTTGGGTGAAATTGTACTAGCTAGGAATAAGCAAAAGAACTTGGATTATTCTTATTTGACATATAGCGGATATCAAAGGCTATGTTAGATGAAGGATGCATGAAAATCGAAAGGCTTGAAATTAACATTGTCAATCGAAGTTTGAAATTGTAGATAGACTCTTGAACATGTTTGGAGTGACTTATATTAAAGATAAAGATAATGTAAGGAGTTACATAATAGTTTACATACAAATGAGGTTTCATAAAAGAAAGTGAGTAAATTTTTTTTATTTAATTAAAGAAATTTTGATTCAATTATATCTCACCACAGCATGTTTATATATAAATCATTATACATGTAGCACAATCGTACAGACAAATTCTGAACATGTTGCTTGCATTGACTTCTTTTTAATGTAAATAGATCATATTAAAAATAAATCACATATTTATTAAGTCATCCTAGATATGCCATAGAGTCAGACATTTTAATGTAAAATATCTTGGTACATAATTAAGTTCGTCTCAAAGTGAAACAGCAAGCCAGAGTCTACACAGCTGAATCCATGTTGACACCACTTATGATCTTTATTCAATCAATCACAAGCTAACAAAAGGGATACGCATCCAAAATCCAAAACAAACTTGAATTGCCGAGTGTACCTAGCAGGCATAAGCGTAAGGCCGGTTCTTTTGTGGACAGTAAGTCCATTTTCACCCCACTAGGAGCTTGCCAATCAAACCAGTACAAAAAGGCTGGCCAATGTAAACTCAACAGTGACAATGGAAGTGCTTATTCCTGGGCACAATCTCCTTCCAGCCCCAAATGGCAGTAACTCAAAATGTTGCCCTTTGAAGTCAATCTTGCTGTCCTCAAATCTTCCAGGGAAAAATTCATTAAGGTTCTTCCAACTGTTTGGATCTCTCCATATTCCCCAAGCAGTGATCAAAACTCTTGTTCTGAGATAAATATCATAATATTATTGCCATCGCCTATTTTACTATGTTGCATGCATTGGCATGGGAGTAAAAGAGGTACCGGTGGATGCAGGAGTGGATCCAAGAAAAAGTTTAGGACGGGCTAATACGCAAAAAGGAAAAAAAAAAAATAATAATAATAAATAAATAATTCACATATAAAAAAATTTCTTTTACTTAATTTTTTTCAATTAACATTTTGGCTGGATGGAAGGGCTGTAGCATAGCCTGGCCCGTCCCTAGATTCGTCCTTGCGGTGGATGAATCCTTAGGGAGTTAGGGTTTCCTTCACCACCAATTTTAAGTATGTCAACTTTTTTAGATCATCTGAATCCATCGTTGGTTTCATTCCAACGCTGCCTAAGATTTCTACTTGGACTTTCTGCATTACTCTAGGATTTTTGACTAGCTCAGACACTGCCCACACCAAGGTGATTGCACAGGTATCCACACCCCCTAGAAATGTGTTCTGAAAGTAAACAGAAAAAATAAAGCATCAACTTATGCTCAGAACCAAGTTAAATGGGCTAAAGTATGTAGAAATTCTCAGCTGAAAACTTATAAGTTATATTATCTATCGGTGTATGCTTGGGACCAAACATGAAGCGACGGGGATTTGTACCATGAGAAGGACCTGGATGTGATCTTTACTTATATAAACTCCAGATACAGTAGGGTCCTTTGACATTCCAATCAAAACATCAACAAGATCTTCATCTTCTCCATTTCTCATTTCTTGATGCAGATGTTCGTCAAGCACCTTTTGTAAGTATGAATCAAGTTTCTGAAAGCATTTATCCACCTTCACTGGGTGTCCAGTTACAGAATCTATAATCCACCCAAAGGATAAAGTGTTCCTTTGCGGAAAAACTATTCGCCATATCCATAGCTTCATCAAGAATATCTTTTACTTCTCTGCCATCGAATCCTTTCCCTCTATAGCTTTTACTAAATGCAACTACACTAATAAGGGCATCTCCAATGCATGCCCTATTGCACCAAATTGCACCAAAATTTGGTGCAAACTTCCTCCAACCATTGTACTATTGCATGCACCAAATTTTGGTGCAAAATGGTGCAACATGAATAGTGTTGCACCATATTTGGTGCAACACTATTCATTACACCATTTTTTGCATCAAATGGTGAAATGTCCGTTTTACCCTTATTTTTCATTTTTCAAAGATAATGATTAAGGGTATTTGTGTCATTTTCGTTCTATAATGATGATGATAATTAATTACACTATTAATTATATTTTTAAAATTTATTATTTTTAATAATATAATCAATAATAATTAACGTAATTGTTAATTTAACGTAAAGTTTATATTATTAAAGTTTATTATTTTTTTAAATTTAAAGTAATTGTTTACCATAAATTAATAATATAATCAATAATAATTAACGTAATTGTTAATTTAACGTAAAGTTTATATTATTAAAGTTTATTATTTTTTTAAATTTAAAGTAATTGTTTACCATAAATTAATAATATAATCAATTATTTTTGTCAATTTAACATAATATATAAAACACGTGAATAATTTAGTAATCAATATATTTGTTAATTTAACGAAGTTATGATGTAGTAATTAATTTAGTTATAAAATAAATAAATAAATAAACAAATTTTTTTAAATAAATACATTGTCAAAAATCGAAAGAAAGAATAAAATAATAAAACACTGTTCATTTGGTGTAATGGTTGGAGAAGAATTTTGGTTTGGTGCAAATTTTGGTGCAGCATTGGAGATGGCCTAACTCCACCAACCAAATCATACATTTTCTCATCAAGATTAACTGAATTTGGCAAGGCTGTAGATAAATAATCAGTCAACTTGCCAACCTCAAACTCCCTTTCATGGGCGAATGACTGTTTTGTCCTAGAATTCAAGAGGTGGAAATAGAGGCGGAGGCTGGGCTGTACCCCATCTCATATAAATTTCTAAGAAATTTTTTTAGAATTTTGGCCCAAATATTAGCATTAACCCAGCTTTAATTTAAATTTCAATCCAAGTCCAATGCTCAATTATTCAAATTGTATTAAAAACACTACAATTATTTATTACTTTTTTCAAAACATTCATGAGATGTGAATATTTTATTGTCAAATTAAATATTCTATTTAATGCATGTTTGATTAAAATTTACTTATAGTTATTAAGTAAATTTTATTATAGATAATTTGTATTGATTAGATCTAAAAGTAAATTACTTATTTTACTTATTTTAATAGTTAGAGACACTATGTGTTTTTCGAAATTACACATGATTTCATTCATTACTAATTCATATATATATATATATCAAAATAAATAACTTACTATATATTTGATATTGACAATAAAAAGAATATTTGTTAAAACTTTCAATTGTTTGGAAAGATTGGTTGTCAAAGTTACTAAAAGAGTATTAATTAAGTAATTTTTTAAATGTTTATTGGTGGTTTGCTTAATTCTATCCTGATTCAGTTAGTTTATATTTTTTAAAGTAAGCATCGATTTTCCATTTGGTAAAAAAAAAAATACAAAAATTTAGTGGAATATCTTAATATGAGACATTTAAAATTTTCTTATTTCATTTAAGTGTCGTATACTTTTTATTGTGAATGTCACGAAAATAGCCTCTGAAACTTAATTTCTTGTGACATAAGTTCATTCAAAAAAATTTAAATTTCGGTCCATCCTAACATTATTTTCTGGCTCTGCCCCTAGGTGGAAAACAAAATATTTTACGCTTTTGACGCTAATGGTCACCATATGGTGCAAACGCTATGTTTGAGAAATTGTAAAAAATCCTCTTTTCCCCGGAAAAGGTGGCCGGCTACAGAAGCTTGTGTCATGAGTTTTCATGATTTCTTTAGCCATTTGGGCAGAAGAAATGACTCAAGTTGGGATGTTTTCAAGTTGTAGTAGCATTACAGGACCATACTTTTGGGAGAGTTTCCATAGTTCTTGGTGATGCAATTTGCCTAACTGATGCAAGTTGCCTATCACAGGAAGTTTGGGAGGGCTTGGTGGGAGTTTGATGAAGTGCATAAAGGATTAGAGTTTATGATGAAATGAGACCGTCGTAAGGCAAAATAATGATTTTTGATTTCATGATAATTTCGGGTTTGTTCATTTTTGACAAATTGCTAGACTAATTCGATTGGAATCTAGCTAATGAATAAAACTTAGTGCCTTTTGGCCTTGACGCAAGGTCAATTTTGGGCAAAATCCATTGTTTAGGCCCTTGTTTAGGCGTTTTTGCTAGTTATGGTAATTTTTGTTTTTGCAATTTCTCTTTCCATAAAATTCGGATTTGTATTCCGTTTGTTGAGGGATGATCCTGAAGATAAGGATTTTCCATCTTAGTCGTTATATCATATTTTTCTATTTTTGAAAAAATATCTTTTTTATTCTATTTTCCGAATTTTGCTATGTTTTTTTTTCTATTTAAGGCGTTGTAAGCCCTTTGAGGCAGCAGTTCTTGAATTCAATAAAAATTTTCTTGAGAGTTTTCTCATTTTGTGATTGTTCATCTTCCTTATAATCTTTCATTATATCAGTTGGTATCAGAGCCAAAATCGTTCCTTCACCATGCCGCCAAGGAGACGTCTTGAAGCCCGTGATGCCTCGGTAGAGAAGGTACATAGACGTGATGAACTTGCACAGCTACGTCAACAAGTAGAATTGCTAACAGAACAGATAGCTGCGCTTATGCCGCAGCAGCCTGTGCATGTAGCCCAACAGCTTGAGGATTCCGATGACGAGAATCTGTTTGCACCGCTTGAACAACCATTAGATCTGCCAGTTCGTCGGAGAAGGGGTAGTCAGGAGGACAACCGATGTTGGGAATCAGGATTTAAGGTTGATATTCTAGAATTTCATAGTGGGTTAAGTGTAGAGGAATTCTTGGATTAGGTGACTACAGTGGAGGAGATCTTGGAGTTTAAAGAGGTTCCTGTCGATAAATGTGTGCCTCTCGTTGTGACGAGGCTTCGTGGGCGAGTAGCGGCATGGTGACAGTAGACTCAGGTGATGAGATTTAGGTGGGACAAATTAAAGAAGTATATAAAGAAACAATTTCTGTCTTACAATTATGTGCGGACCATATACCAACAACTGTAGAATATGCATCAAGGTGGGAAAACGGTTAGTGATTATACCACGAGTTTTTATATGTTGATTATGAGGAACGAGATGATGGAGACAGAGGATCAGTTGGTGTCACGGTACGTGGGTGGTCTTCGCCCCCAAATATAGGATACTCTCAATATGTTTGATCCTGTGACAGTTTTTTAAGCCCATCAGAGGGCAATACAAATAGAGAAGCAACAGTCCAGGAGAACTACTAGTCCTTTCATTGCAGGGAGTTCTTCCAGTAACCCACAACAGCAGGTGACATGTCCTGGTAATCCTACTCAATCTGGTCGTCCTAGAACAAATCATGTCTAACAACCAACACGTCATGGGGTTGGTACTCGTTTTGGATGTGGAGTTACAGGCCATAGGCAATCTGAGTGCCCTAAAAATCTGTGCAGGGGACTCTTTGTTGATGAGGGGAATGACGATTATGAAGGTCCGCCTGTATTTGAAGGTGACGGCGTAGAAAAAGCAACAGGAGAGGAAGAGTTTGTGATTGGTGATGTGGGTCAGGCACTGGTGGTGAGGAGGAGTTTCCTGACTTCCTTGGAGAATAACACTAATTGGTTGCGTAATAATATCTTTCAATCGACATGTACTGTTGGAGGGAAGGTATGTAAATTTGTTATTGATTCTAGTAGTTGCGAAAATGTGGTGGCTGAAGAGGTCGTTAAGAAGCTGGGTTTGCAGACTGAGAAACATCCCAAACTGTGTAAATTAGCCTGGCTGAAAAGAGGCAATGACGTAGAAGTGTCTCAACTTGCTCGAATCAGCTTCTCCATTGGACTTACCTATAAGGATCATGCTTTATGTGATGTAGTAGAGATGGATGCGTGCCATTTACTGTTAGGGAGGCCCTGACAGTTTGACAGGCACTCACCGCATGATGGATATATCAACACATATAGCTTTCTGTTTGGGGGAAAGGAAATTGTGTTACTACCGGATAAGGGTTCAGTACAAACAGTTGGGAACAACGCGAATTTACTGAACCGAAAGAAGTTCGAGACAGAAATGGAGGAGTCTGGAGTAGTGTATGTGCTAGTTGGAAAGTCGATTGACAGTGAGCATAAAATCCCTCTTCCAATTCAGCCATTGCTGAAGGAGTTTCATGAAGTTTTCCCAGAAGAGCTTCCAGATGGATTACCACCACTACGGGATATTCAACATCAGATTGACTTGGTGCCTGGTGCTGCCCTGTCTAACTGAGCGCATTACAGAATGAGCCCCACTGAGCATGAGGAGTTGCGCAGACAAGTTGAGGAGCTTCTGGGAAAAGGACACTTCAGGGAGAGTCTTAGTCCTTGTGTTGTTCCTACTCTTCTCAAGCCGAAGAAGGATAGCACGTGGCACATGTGTGCAGATAGTAGGGCGATCAATAAGATTACGGTGCGTTACTGCTTTCCTATTCCCCGCCTGGATGATTTGTTGGACCAGCTTACTGGTGCTTGTGTGTTTAGCAAGCTTGATTTGAAGAGTGGGTACCATCAGATTTGGATCAGACGTGGAGATGAGTGGAAGACAGCATTTAAGATGAGGGAAGGATTGTACGAGTGGTTAGTCATGCCCTTCTGCCTCTCAAATGCGCCCAGTACGTTTATGCGGATTATGAATCAGGCTCTTTGCCTATTCATCGGTAAATTTGTTGTGGTCTACTTTGGTGATATTTTAATTTATAGTGCTAACGATGATGATCATGTCCAGCACCTTGGGAAGTTCTTTCAGTACTTCACAGGGATAAATTCTATGTTGTAGTGAAGAAGTGTTCATTTCTTACTGATAGTGTGGTGTTCCTTGGTTATGTGGTGTCGAAGGCCGGGTTAGCAGTTGATACATCTAAAGTAGAGGCGATAAATCAATGGCCACAACCCAAGACTGTCACTGAGGTGTGGAGTTTTCATGGCTTTGCTTCCTTCTATCGCAGGTTCATACCACATTTCAGTAGCATCATGGCACCAATTACAGATTGCATGAAGGATGGTAGGTTTCAGTGGACTCACAAGGCAGAGTCGTATTTCCAATTGATTAAGCAGAAGTTGACTACTGCTTGAGTTCTGGTGTTGCCTGATTTTACCAAACCATTTTAGCTACATTTGTGATGCTCCGAAAGTGGGTATTGGTAGCGTGTTGAGTCGGAACAACTGCCCTATTGCATATTTCAGTGAGAAGCTTTCTAGTCCGAAGTCTCGGTATAGTACTTATGATGTGGAGTTCTATGCAATAGTCCTGATTGTTCGACATTGGCGTCACTATTTGTTCCATAAGGAGTTCATTTTGTATACGGATCATGACGTCCTTAAACACCTTGGTACTCAGGATATGGTATCTGCTCGACATGACTCTTCGATTGCTTACTTACAGTAGTTTACTTTGTGATTAAGCACAAGTTGCAGGTGCCCTTAACAAAATTGCAGATGCATTGAGTAGGCGTCAAACTCTCCTTACAGAAATGCGAGTGGAGGTTCCAGGTTTTGACAGTTTGTATGACTATATGCTACAGACCCATACTTTTCCCATGTTATTCAGAAGTTGCAGGAGGGTGTGCAGTCGGAGTTTGCATGGGTTGATGGTTTTCTTTTTCATGGCAATCAGTTGTGTATTCCATAGAGCAGTTTGAGGTTGAAGATCATTCTAGAGTTGCATAATGAGGGCCATGTGGGTCGTGACCGAACATTGTAGCTTGTTGTTGCTTCTTACTTTTGGCCATCATTGTGCAAAGATGTTTGCAAGTTTGTGGAGCGTTGTCGGGTTTGTCACTTGGCCAAGGGCAAGGCAACAAATGCGGGCCTGTATATGCCCCTGTCTATTCCAACCCAGCATTGGACAGACGTGAGCATGGATTTCGTTGTGGGAGTCCCCAGGACTCAACGTAGGTTTGATTCGATCTTTGTAGTGGTTATCGATTTTCAAAGACAGTACATTTCATCCCTTGCAAGAAGACTACAGATGCTATCAATGTGGCCTTACTGTATTTTCGTGAGGTTTATCGCCTGCATGGACTGCCTACATCTATTGTGTCTAATCGGGATACTCGTTTCCTCAGTCACTTCTGGCGCAGCTTATGGCGCTCGTTGAATGTGTAGGTTGGACTTTAGCAATGCATATCACCCTCAGACAGATGGTCAAACGAAGGTTGTTAACCGTTCCTTGAGTGATTTACTACGTTGCTTGGTTGGTGATCACATCAAGTCTTGGGATCAGAAGTTGTGTCAAGTAGATTTGCTCACAATCATGCTGTTAACCGAAGTATAGGTTTTAGTTCGTTCCGGTGGTGTATGGCCTTGTTCCTCATGGTCCTCTTGATCTGGTTCCAGTTTCTACTTCTATTAAAATGCATGGTAAGGCCGAAGACTTTATTTAGCAATTGCAGCAGGTTCACTCACAGGCTCATGATCAGGTGCAGGCTGCTGTCACTGAGTATAAGCATGCTGCGAATCTTAAACGCCGACATGTTGAATTTGAGGTAGGTGACTTTGTTTGGGCGGTGTTAACACAAGATCGTGTTCCTGCTCATGAATACAACAAGCTTACTGCGAAGAAGATTGGTCCATTGGAGGTCATTGAGAAGATCAATCCGAATGCTTACCGTTTGAAGCTGCCCAACCATATTTGTACATTCGATGTGTTCAATATCAAGCATTTGGTGTCATTTTGTGGTGATAATTCTAATGATGATGATGCTCCTTTCCCGTCAAATTTGAGGGCGAATTTTTCC